ACAAATAGTGGTGTGACTGTACTTGTGCAAGAGAGGGTCAGGACTCATTGGAAGTGGTGAATGGCTGACCAGCTAGTCAGGGATCTGAAAGGAAAAAAAATGGAACATTTAGGACAAGGAGGTCTCGCATGGGTATATGTGAATGAGTCCAAAGGATGAGGATGTGTTATCATGTAACATCCACTAGCAAGAACCCATCTAATTGAAGAACTCACTTGGGTGGGATGATTGAGCAGGCGGAAGCACACCTGGTAGTCATTAACCAATTAGCCTTGAATAGGCACATGAAAGGATGGTCACCGGGGAGGAGACAGATGTCATGAATGTGGTTAGCAGTATGGACTCTTGCTTTCAGCACGACTTCCAAGCTACTGCTGCCAGCCAATAGCCAACCTGCCAGCGGCAAAGAGCAAGTCTGAGTCACCAGCATGGCTTAAGAGATCAACTAGCTTTTTGGAGACACACAAAATATTTTGGTACTGTCTATCTTAAATAGACACATCCTGTGTATCGATTTACCTTTCCCTTTTGTAAGCCTTCAGCAAACATAGCTTGAGTACTGAGAGCATGTGGCTCTCTGGCATGTCCCCACATGTGTCACAATGTTGAGTTCTTTTATAGTGAAGAAAATGAAAGTAAGTCCAAAAGAATGAGATTCACTGGCTATTTAACATAAGGTGACATTTAGAAATTGACTGAAAGCCAGCTGCAGAAATATGGTCTCACCAAAACCATGGAGAAGCTGCTCTTGAAAAGATTCCCAAAATGAATGTCAATGTTAAGCATGTAAGGCAGACATGAAGCACCATAGGGCTCCTCCTCCAAGGGAAGGCTTGCAAAGCCGGCCGCCAGCCTTGCGAGTGCTTCCTTAGTTGTAGACAACTGCTTTGCCTCCCAGAGTGACCCATATCCAACAGCTGATGGAGACAGAGACATACTGGACTATTTGGCCCAACTGTGCAAAGCTATGCACCCTGCAGCTGCAGCAGTGATACATGCAGTAGGTTAGATGCCTGATTCTACTTCCGGTCCTAAGATGCGCAGCTACAGTTGCCTAATACCCTACACCCCAAATTCTTTTATGTTGTTTGCAGTCTGCAAACACAACATGCATATTCTCAGAATATATAGAGAAGATGTATAGAGAAGGTCTCCTGGAGCTGGCTTAGGAGACCCCGCCTTTTCCTCCTCATATACTCCACTCTTACTGCACACCACCTGCACTGGTGTGCTGCAGCCAAGCTGTTTCCTTCCTGGCCTTTCATGATGTCTTGTTATCCTATTCTGGAATCCTCTCTACACAGCAAAGCAGCACTGCCTTGCTCTCCTGATGACATCACACTGCCTTTTTAGAAATGGGCAACCAAAGAGAATGGGATTCTTCTTTTCTTCTTCTCCATCATCATCATCATCATCATCGTCATCATTGTCGTCGTCGTCATCATTTTTTCCCCTTTGAGACAGGGTTTCTCTGTAGCTTTGGAGCCTGTCACTCTATAGACCAGGCTGGCCTCAAACTCAGAGATTTACCTGCCTCTGCCTCCTGAGTGTTGGGATTAGAGATGTGCACCACCACCGCCTAGCAAGAGTGGGGGTGTTCTTTGTCTTCACAGCAGAGAAGGGTAGAGTGGCACCAATTCTCACATTTAACTGCAGCACACAGGGGAGGCTGAAATGTGAGGACGATGGGCTGAAGCATGAGGGCATTTTCCTTCAGTCCCCATCTTCATGCTCCCATCTCAAGCCCCGATGTTTGGAGTAGGGCAAAGGGCGCAAACTCTGGGGGTTGAACCCACTGTAGTGGTGCCCGGTCTGCGAGGTTCCTATGGGGATAAGCAGGCTGATTTTTGAACAAAGGACCATTCCAGGAAAATCCTGGAAGCTTGTTGGATCACAGCAGGGGACATCTGTGTCAGGGCATTTTCTTGCATGTTAGTAAAGGTTCTGCTTTTCCTTAACCAGGAAAGAAGTCACACAGCTCACAATTAGTCACAGCATGCTCAAGTCTCAGTCTCTATATGTTCGTGTGGGAAATTTCCAATTGGTGATCTGGCAATGGGGAGCTGTTAATATCCATATGCCTTCCTGCAATGAAGACCATCCATGCCAACCTGTACAAGGTAGGGAGGGAGCACGACAGCACTGCTGCTCAGCAAGGCTGCTGCTTTCTTTGCTCTGATTGTAGCAGACATAGGTATGGGCAAAGGAGGGAAACCCTCACTGAACTCTGGGCCTTACCACTAGCAGGAGGGAGAGGATTTCGAGAAGAGAGGCACTCAGGAGACTGTGGACAAGAAGGCACGCATGTACTTGATACACTACACAAAGCAACGCCAAGTGGGAAATGTTAGACCAGAATTGCAGAGGGCTATTTAAAGTCCAAGTTACGAACTGCTTATTTTCTGGGTGATTCACCATCTAATTTCTCCAGAGCTTTATTTTTTGTTTTTGCAGCAATTTCAAAAGATATAGAAGAGTATCCCCCATCCCCTGACACAACCCCTTGTATTTTGGTGGAAACAGAAATCTAAACTTGAAGCTAAAATTGAGGCATTTCTTGGAACCTCTAGAGTAAAGAACAGAGAGGCCCAAACATTTGATCATGCATTGCATGCATATCTAACCATGGAGACAAGTCATTTGAATTTTGTGTTATCGATTACTCTGCTTTAAATTTGCACAAGTGATCCATGTGTGTGGAACATGTCTTTGTCTCGGTTTGCATGACCATCTCTCACCCATGTAACCTCCAGCTAAATGCACTTTCAGGGAACTTTTCTGGGGTGGGTGTCAGAGCATGATCCTCCTTGTTTATTCTGAAGCAGATTTTTTGTTTGTTTGTTCTTACATTTTGAGCACCATAAATGTTCATGTGATTAAAAAAAATATGGGACTACCTGGCTATGATTCTAAGGTAACAAGGACTGACTGAGAAGCAGTGAAAGATTGTGATCGTCTAGGGATACAATGAAAGGGGCAAACATTTGCCTTTCCTCTGGGCATTTGTAGAAGACCTAAAATAGCTGTGTAGATATTATTTGTATCTACTGGCTCCCATGGGTCATGAAGAGGGGGTGACAACAGGGATTTGTGGGAGGAGCCGGCTCCAGCTCCAAGTGTGCAGGAGGCAATCTTTCTACAGACCAGGCTCAGCAGCATCACCTCGGGAGTTTAAAATGGGCCACAGTAACAGTACATACATGTGAGAATCAGGCTGCAGTTACCAAACATACATGAGGGAATCAGCAATTGACACAGACCAGTGTTTTGTTTTTTCTCCAAGTAAGCCTATTTTTTTCTTTCTGAGCCAATGTATTGTGTAGCCAAGGTTGGCCTTGAACTTGATATGCAGCTGATGATACCTTTGAAATCCAATACTTCTGCCTCTATAGTCCAAGTGATAGGATTACAGGCGTGTACAGCGAGCCCAGTGTGTGGTGAGGTGACTTTTTAACAGTCTTATATATTTTCTTTAATCTTCCACATTGGTTAATGGCTCATGCTTTCCTCTGTGTTCTTCAGCATACAAAGAGTGTGTGGGATGCTTGTTCCCATACATTAGTCCCCTAAGTCTACACTTTCAGTGAGAAGTCTAATTCTGGTTAGCATATAGTCTGTAGACTTTCTATACTGTTCATGGACTAGGAATGGAATTTCTTCTTTAAAGAGTTGTAGTAAATAAGGAAACATTGAGAGACAGCAGGAAAAGCCCAGCAACAAAAATACTAGGGTTCATATATTCACCAAGACTCAAAATAATTATGTTAGTGAGAATGGTACAACAGCATTGGAAAAGCCAACAATTAAACTACAGTGACCACATGACCTGTAGGTCCACTCTTAGGTATGTATCCAAGGGAAGCCAAGCTATTCCATATGGAAACTGTACATACATGTTCACAATAGTATCATTCACAATTCATAATTATTTCCCCAAAACAAATGCTCTAAATGTCCAATGCTAAAGGGTACAATCTGTTATGGTGACCCTGCTTTAGGAATGAGAGAAGTGCAGGAAGCAACAAGATTATCTTTGGAAGCAAGAGGCAAATGAAAGATACGAGTTGCCAAGGACCACCTATGGCATAATGCTGAATATATGCAGTGCCCAGAACAAGCAACTAACGGGGACAGGAGAATGTGGTTTCCCACGGACCAAGTCAGGAGCTTCTTAAAAGGAAACTCTAATGTGTATAAGTTCACTCTGCAGGGCATGAACAAAACTGAAAATTTATTGTGGTAATGATGGTTCATAACCCTGTAAATATACTAAAGCCTATGAAATTTAATACTTTTTATAAGGATGAATTATAGATCTCAATAAAATGTTACTTTTAAAATGTGGTTCCTGGATTTTGAGATTTTGGAGACTAGTAAGGAAAACTCTGGAATTTACCATAGTTGCCCACTTTGTTCATTTGCTTTTGCTAAAGAGTACGCTAAATAGTACCACTTAAGGACCACAAACGATGGTACTGATATAATTGACTAAGAAGAAAGTAATTTTAGTGATTAAAAGAATCAAGAATCAAGGAATGATGAACTATTTGTTAACTGGAATAAATGGAGCTTCATTTGAAAAGTAATATGGGGCCTGAACAGATGACTCAGTGGTTAAAAGCACATAATGCTCTTTTGGAGAACCTGAGAGTGGATCTTAGCACTCCTACCAGGGCTGCTCCCAACTGCCTAGAAGTCCAGGTCTAGGGGCATCTTATGCCTCTTAGCCCCCTGGGTACCTGCACTCGCATGCACATAACCACACTACATACACACACATATAAAATATCATGTGATTTTTATAAGTAACTACAACAATACTAACTTTTCCTTTTTATACTGTTTGAAGTGCGCACCACTCTTGTTATTACTTTGAAATTCTTCTAGGAATGGCTCACACATAGAAATGTTTCAGATTGTTTGCAGTCTGTACATTCCATGGTCATGTCAGTGACTTCAATTACATTTTGATAATTTATTTATTGATAAATGAAAAAACCTTAAATGATAAAAGACTTTATTTATATCTAAAAAGTCATATAATCCAAAACTACAAAAATAAAAGACAATTTCTGGAAACTTAAGGAATGTCTAAAAACCACCATATTAACACTTAATATCTAAAATATATCAAATTCTAAGCAGATATTTATGCTTCTTTTTGTAGTTTACAACATCTGAGCTGGAATTTTCTTCTTGGAACTACACTGTTGACTTTCAGTTCTAATGCTTAAATTTATAACTTGGGTCTTTTCTCACAAACAGGAACACATAGCATAAAACCCTTTCTACACAACAAAATAAAAATAATTAAAGAAGATTGTAGGATTTCTACTACAAGAAGACAGAAAGGTATGTTTCTTTTGCAAACACTGGGGGTAAAGGGATTCCAAATCCAGCCAGATCACTCCTACTTGAAGGCTGTCGAGATTACCCATTTGAAGAACAAGCCACGTGTAAAATGCTTCCACCATTTAATAGCCAGGAATCAATATCCAGATATTGGGAAGCAATACCTCAGTTTACATATGAGGAAGCAAGGCTTGCTGTGAGGCCTAGACTGAGCCAAAGGGAGGCCTCACTGGCTTCCTGTGGGAAAAGCTAGAGATTTCTCTGCAGAAGACATCATTATTTTTTAATAGCAGTATAAGAGTTGGGGTTTCCACTGAGAGACTTAGTTTTGGGTCAGAGTAAGAAGTTCAGAGCACAGACAAGGTGGAGATTTCAGGGTGAGGGGGTTAACAGAGGGAAAGTTAAAGCCAGGATAAAGCCTCTTTTCAGACAGAGATCACTTTGCAGAGGTAAAAATAGCAAAACAAGAATAGAAAAATAAAATAGCTAGAGAGTTTCTTATTTCTAAGCCCAGACGCTTTTGTAAAATCACTTTGAAAGAGGCGCTCTCTTGAAGGTAGTCCTTAGCAGTCTTATTCCTCGCCACCATGGGTACAACCCCTGTGAGGAAGAGAGCACTGACTTGAAGGGACAAGGCTGAGAAGTAGGGATGTGAGAGGGGAGGACCACGTGGAGGTGGTTTATTTCATAGTGGGTTAGAGGTAGAAACAGTGAAAAAGGGGGCAACAGGAACTTTCATTGATGGACAAGTGGAATAGTCCGCGGATCTAGGAGCAACATCAGCTACTGATACTTTTACAGATGATTTGGGTTTTCATGTATACAATGAAACCAAAGATGATGGACACTGGTCTGGATACTGAAGCACTAAGGTCAAGGGCATCTTTGCAGTTGTATCACAGGAGAGTGTGTGAGAGCCCAGGGGTACTGAGCAGTGCTGTGGGCTGGCATGAACTAGTGCACGTACGACAGAGTTGTGCTGCATCTAGTTAAAACATAGTGAACACTGGGCTACGATACCATTTCAGAGGAGTTTAGTTTGATCAATACCACTAGGGTGGATTTAAAAATCCTGCCTGTTCCTGGAAAGGGTATTGAAAACCAATACAATGGTGTCCATTCACTTGGAAAACTGTGTGTAACTCTGGGTTTCATAGATCTACTGTGTGTCATTAAGGGAAATTAACCTTGCAGGAAGACAAATAACCCATCTCTTCATGGCTGTCAGACACATCTGTGGTAGGACAGGGCTCAGTTCTAAGTCACTGTAGCAAATTCAATGTTCTGGGTTCCCAGGGAGGATTTCCCTCTGGCTCTCCTCTAATCACCTTCCATAGTCAAATTCCTTGTCATGGACATAAACCCAACCCAGAGTGGGTCACAAAACCAGTCATTGCGTTGAGCTTAGGAGAGCTGATCCTAGAAACATTCTGGAAAAGGCATGAAGGAGCAAGTAACTGTGGCCTCCCAGCTTTAAAGTGGCAGAAGACTGAGCTATCTCAGAAAGCCCCTCTGTTGACTACGAATTGTTTAGAACTTTAAGACCAAGAGCAGCTCTTTTCACATCCGAGTGAAACATTTGCTTGTGGCAACTGTGCCAAATCCACTGTAGAACTGTAACGAGAGGACAGAAGCCTATCAGCTGCTGACCAATTTGCAGATAATTTGCTTTCTTCCATAAATCTGGATAGCGCTGACAATTCATCCTAAAATATAGTTGCTATTATGGATAAATGTCAGCACAACTCTCCAGCCGGTTCTTGACTTCAGTTAGTAAACAATTCTATTCCATCCCAGGGTGAGGGCATGAAATCCTGAGAAATCTTACCCAATTCTGTTACACCAGACTTTAAAATTTTAAAGTTATCTTGAAATATGCTGATTAGTTTTAGCTCTAGGGGTGGCTGGTTAATATCTGATACACCTTAACCAGAGCATACATCTTCCACGTCCTGCCAGCAGCTCTGGTCACTTCCAAGGCTGTTACCACAGGCTTTATTTTCAGTCTAACCCCAGACACTTTGTTAATCAAGCAAGTGAATATTTCTGTGGCCAACTTGGTGTTAATGAAAAGTGTACTCGCACACAGTGTGTAGGGCCAGCCCTCCCATGGACAAGTCCAACAGACTGAGGAGAAGTCAAACACAACATGATCTGGCTGACAGAATTAGGAAAAATATTGCTGGATTTACTTCTGAGAGCTTTCAGACACGAGATGGAGTTACATTGCCTGGAAGGGCAGACTACGGACTTCCTCAGCTTTATAGGAGACTGGGAACTGTTCTGGAGCCTCCTGGCTTAGTAACATACATGATGTAGTAGACTAAAGACTAATTACAGTGTAAAACATTACCTGGTTGGGGAGGAGGTTGGGGAGGAGGTTGGGGAGGAGGCGTATAGCCTTTACACATCTGTCTACCAAAGGCTACCAAAATAGCCTAACAGCTGGCAACAGTCAGATTATAATATTCTTGAATGGAAGAAATCCACAAATTCATCAGCTCTAAGAGGATTAATGTTGTTGTGTTCTATATTTGGCTAGGTTTGCAAACATTAGGTTTAGTTTTAACGATGATAAAAGTCCTGGGTTCTTTTAGAGTCTTCAGATGACCCAAGGAAGGAAAGGCCTTGCTGTTCAAGCACCAGAACAAGAAAAATACAAAGCTGAGAGGCACAGGTCGTGACCCTGGCATCGTGATCTTTCACCTTTTTACGCTTCTCTGGCTTCCTTCCAGCTGTCTCCAGTCTGAGTGTTACTATCCTAGGAGCTGGATCTTGACTGGACAGAGACAAATAACAAGAAGCGTGTTAAATTAAGTGCAGGAGAGAATGTTAGACATTTGTGCCCAGTAAAGTCAAACCAACTGGTATAGGCTGCGTTATTTGACTTGGTTTAGCCTCCGTAGCTTAACCTAATGTACGCTAACCTACTGGATAGAAGAGGATAAAGTGAGCACATGTACTTGCTTTCACTTTAAAGTTTCTTAGAGTTTTATCCCATGTAGGCTCTTGGATTTCTGCTTTAAAAAGAAAACCAAGACAACTATATTTTCCAACAATCAAAGTGGGTTTTAAAAAAGTAACAGCTGAATGATGATCTGCATAACCTACAACGGTGTGATGGGAGAGGACACACCTTCCTGTGCCCATGGGAGCTCTTGGAAGAGGACACAGCAGGGGTGTGATCCTAGCGGGTGAGATGACTCATGTACAGTGCTGGGCCTAGAACCCGGTCCATACCATGCACTCAGTAGAGCTCCTCATTCATAGTTACTTGAAAAACAGAAGCAATCGTGAATTCTAAAATATGCATGTTCAATCCAACCTAAAGCTGGACAGATGAGCCTTTAGAACATATTTATTACTACTATTGCATGGGCATAAGGTGTGTGAGCTCAAGTTGTGGTCAGCGGACCAAGTTGTAGCCCTTATCTCTCCTTCTACTTTCTGTTAACTGCAAGGTTTAAACTCAGGTCCCTAGGCTTGCATGGTAAGTACCTTTATCCAATGGCCCAGATATAAAACATTTTATGGGATGTTTATTATAATAAATGGAATGTCTGAACCTGCCATTGGTTATATTTAAATTAGATCAAATTGAAATTTTCACATGCTGAACTGTTCTCCTACAGCATTCCAGTACTCTAAATACTGGCAAAGGCACTTGAGGTTGAAGTTCAATATGCAACAGTGGAGTCATAGGAAGTTCTCAGTTTGAGAGAACTTAAGAGTTCTCATCTACCGCTCCCTAGTTTAATTCTTACCACAGTTCTGAGAGGCTGATGGGAAAGGTCTCTACATTATGGATGGGGACAGCTGATACGCTACATAGTTTGTTTTCCTTAGTTTTTGAAGTTACGTGTAAATCTGGGTATTGACCTGTCCTGTTGACTCTGAAAACAATGGGGGATCCTCTAATTCCAAGGCAAGCCGTATTTTATAGTAAGAATAGCACCAGTGAATGCAAGAAAAGAGGAGCAACAGACAAACTTTTTGAAATTTAGACTTTTACAAAAGACAACTTGGGGAGAAGGACTTGGTCTTGTTTCTCTCAGAAAATAGGACTTAAGAAAATAATAATGATGAGAACTTGGTCATTTACTGGGGATTTCTTTAGTCTCCTGTGTGTGGGTATGTGTGGGGGGTGTGCGCACATATTCACCTGTTATACAGATGGTTAGCATGGATAAGAGTTCCATATACTCCGAAGAGCATAGAAATGTCTTCAAATATAAAGCATACAAAATGTCAGGCTTTTTTTTAGGACCTCTCATAGAAGACATAACAAATCACTGCTGTTTGCATTCTTAGTTCATTAAGTCAGTCAGTTCCTAGCCAGTACACATGCTTCACTGTAGTGAGATGCAAAATATCCCGGTCTGCTACTGCAGCCACAATGCTGGCAGGTAAAATAGGCAATGGAGGCTGGGAGGAGGGTGAGCACGTACCCCCGTCTCCTTGGAATGCAGAGTGGCAGCAGTACACGGGAAATACCATACAAACTTACTCGTCTCGGTGAACTTTGACAGAACAGTTACGGGCAGAGCATGACCAGCTGTGAACATGTCCCTCAACTTCACCTACTGACCTTAAGAGTCTGACTTCCACATTTAAATGGCACCATCAAGTCTTCTAGGCTCCAAATTCAGAAATTCAAAAATTAGCAGACTAATTTTGGGTGGCAATTTTTGTTTAAGGGGACTGGTTAATCAATCCCCATTAAAGCTGTTCTGTATTTGGCTAACTTTTTTTTTTTTTTAATAGCAGACAGGAGATACTAGAATTAGCTATTACAAAGCTTATGTGACCCATGTCCGGGGCCAACAACTATCAAACAAAGCACTATGTCTAAGAAATTTCACAGCTGACAGAAAGGCACAGACGATAGTGATGAGAATGCCCACACCTAAAACAGCCTTTTCATAACAATACTAAGATTCGTTGAAAGGTAGACAGTGGGTTCCTTGTGGGAGGATGCAAAGGAGAGGACAAGAGGCTTCCAGATCCTTTTCTCTGGCACAAACGATGCCATCCCCCTTCCTTCCCTCTTGGTCCACAAGGCGCTTTTGTGAAGTGGACTCTATGACCTGCTTCCCAGCAGGACTCTAGCAACTCTCTTCAGTGTTAAGATATTTAAAGTCTTCTAAAGGAGGGGTGCTCTGCAATCTGGCCCCTAACACTGAGGTCTAATGAAATGTTCACTACTCAAGAAGACTATACCATCTATCTACTGGAAACCAACCACAAGGAATCCTGTAACTGGAGTCACACTGACTTAGTGATGGCATCCTGAGCAATGAAGTTGGTCACTGTCTTTGCTATAAAGGTAGTAAACTATACCCACAGCAGCACAGTGGTGGAGCAGAGAAGACCAGGCAAACTCAGGGTGCTTTGGAGCTATAACTGCTAAAAGTGCTAATCCTAAACAAAGAAGTAGATGGAATTTGAGTATTCTTGCCCCTAGAACTGCTGGTAACGAGAAGTGGGTTGGGTGGGTGTACTACTACAGCAGAACCCCCCTCATGGCTTATTTGAAAGCCCGACAAACAACAAAAAGAAGCAAAGGAGAACCAAGGCCAGTGTGGCATGAATAAAGTATCTTTGGTATTTCACTATAAATCTGGTAATGTTCTCATTTCCTCTATGGTTTAGGCTGGAGATGTATACTGTTTATTTTGATGTTGATACCACTCTTATGTAACAAGTACATAGTGTTTTATTTTTTAGTTCCTGTGACATGCTCTGACCATCCTATACATAGGATACATAGGAAAGTGACATCCTCAAGATGTGCCCACGATCCTTCTGCCTTTAGGTTTCCTTCTGTGACCACTGTCAGTTTCAGTGATAGACAGTTGGCAGAGGGAGATGAGAGGACTCCGGGCAGACACGAGCAGGCATAACAGCATCACGGTGTCGCTGTTAACCCTGGCAGAGAGGCTACTGTATTATTGAACTTAGAGTATCTCTTTAGGCTTTGTTGACCAGGTGATGTGGGGAGGAGGAACAGAGGACATGCGGACTGAGCCAATATGTCATATTGAAGTAGCATTACGAAAAATAGTTTTCAAATTTTTCTCCCGGCTGTTAAGAGTGGGAGTTATTTTATGTGATTTCCAGTAGGCTTGCTGGCTTGTTTGCTGAGGTAGATAAGACGGGGAAGAAGAGTAAAGAATGCAGAAGAGTAGCTAAAGCCTGTGTGGAGGGAAACTGGCCAGAAATCAGTTGAACAAGCGAAAGCTGAGCTTGACACATTCAGAAAAAGAAGGGCAAAGCTAATGGGACTGCATCCCATTTTGACAGGGATTTTAGGACTCAATAGGTGGGAAACAGGCTGAAGCAACAAGGACAAAGTAGGAGACTATGCAGACACAGCTAGTTATGAGGGGACAGAGGGCATACAGCCCTGTGAAGCCCTTGGAGCCTAATGGCCAGGAAGGACACTTAGCACTGACACTAGTTCACAAGCACCTGGAGGCTTGAAAGTTCTCATTGCTTTTGTTGTTTGAAGAGAGGCAAGTCCGCCTCTTTCCTTGGCCTCTGCACACAGATATTGTAATCGTACTGAAATGTTAGGGATATCTAAATCCCAGCTTAATAATTAGTGAACTGGATTTGGAGCTCCTTTTCCCACCTGTTTAAATTACAAACGAGCACTGCCTGAGACCCAAGCAGAGTGGCTGCCAGCAGCTGGGGCCGTTCCCTGCAGTGATCACAGGCAGATGCCATGATTTCAAATGAACACGCCACTGTAGGCCAATGTTAGTAGTTAAACACCAGAGTTACAGAGATGCAAAGCTACAGGCAAGTTCACAAACACAGCTGGTGGCTAAGAAACCCTTAATGAAGTTAAGAAATCCACCAGTAACTCAGAGCCATTCTTCAAGGTTCCAACACATTCAGACTGAAACTGTTTAGATGCCTCAGTTTCTCTCTCAAGTCTAAGAATAAGCATTTGTTAGAATACCCATTACAACAAGAGGAAAATCACACATAATGTTCTCGTGGGTGGATGTAGGGTCTCTCAGGGTTGCCTGAGTGATGTTTGTGAGGGCTCTGGTCTTCGTAGCACATCTGGTTGTAAAGGGGGTACATCTGCTGAGTTCCATCCTCTTGTACTGTGGCCTCATCTTCATAATCAAATCTGCTATTTAGTCCATTCTAAAAATTCAAACATTGCTTACATTAGCAGAGAAACTGTTTACATTCTTCTAGCACACTGGCAAAAACAAGCAAAAGTTGAACTCATTAAAGTCCATGTCCCTGATTCACTATCCCACAAGGAGCTGGATGGTAAGGCAAAGTTCAACAGCTCATCATGTTCCAGGCATTTGGTGTCCACCATATTCGAATAAGAGGTGTAACTACAAAGCTCCAACTAAGGGGGTGGTGAGTCATTTTAGGTTTTAAAATATGAAATTGATACCGATCGGGGTCAGCTAGAGAAGGACATGGCTGTGACCTTCAGGAGCATTTCAAAAAGGGTCTCAGCTTGGAAGGAATATAGTCAGAGAATTAAATCAAACAAAACAAAAATAAACATCAAGATTCAGCATTGGGGGATTAGGGAGCGGACACAGCAAAGTGAACTGCCATTTGACCATATGCTTGATCAAAGGGAGACTTAAAAATGCTGCCCCAAACAGCTTCTCCTCTCCACCTTCCTCTGACCGACCTAGAGGCACAGCTGACACTTAGCCTGGAATGAGCTCCCTCTGATGCTCTCTGGTATTTCTGAAATGGCCCCTTCTGCAGACGACTGACATGCTTCTGGGATTACTTACAAGTGTTCTTTAGATTACTTGCAAGAGTAAGAAAGTTCAAGGACTTTGTCAAGTCATGTACAGACATGTAAACAGGGAGAAATGGATAAAATTAACTCATAGATATCCAACCAGACTTTCAAATGCACTTGGGAGGGCACAACATGAGCTTTACTTACAGAGGACTGAAGACAACCAGCTCCTTTCTCTTTGAACTGAGTCTGCAACGGTAAGTGTTCAGCCTGGAAGACATTAAAAGATACATACTATAAAGCACCAACACATCAACTGATCAATACCTAGGAGACTCCTGTGTTAAACGAGTTATCACGTCTTGTTAAATGTCTACCAATGAAGCAAAAATATTCTCAGGAGGATGAAATAAAACCTCAGCAACATATTCTCTTTCTTCCTTACCCCCTCTCCTCTGGCTCCTGGCTTCTTCAGAGAAAATAACCAGAACATGTGACACACAAGAGCTGGGGCAAACTGACTGTATGACTGGAGAGTTTTAGGAGTGCGGGTCTTGTCTTTCCCCAGTTGAACAGTTTGGTATTTTGAATTAGGTAAGAAAGAGTGGGCTGAACTGGCGATGATAAGCCTCTATCTGTGGCCACCCATGTGGCCGCTCTTTTCTCTGATCCCTACCTCATGGGTTGTAAAAGGAGCCATCATTTTGAACATAACCTCAGCTGCAAAGGCTCTTCCTTGGCTCCCTCTGCCTGCTACATTAGGCCCCCATTCAAGTGTCACAGCACCTGTAAAGCCCTGCAACATCCTCAGGAGGAGGCAGCCACCAGAGCATAGAATAGCAGGACCATTTTCTCATCAGTCTCCTATCTGGGACTGAGAGTGCTAGAAGGAATCTTATAAGCTTTCTCTTATCTAACCCTTATGAGTAATTCTATAAAGATGGTCCCCATTGGGAATTGAAGTTGTTGGGGTCAAGGAGATCACCACACTTACACTTGTGTTAAAGATACTATACAGCCAACAACTGACTTCACGACCACGAGAGTTTAAATGTTACAGACTAAAGTCAAATTATCTTCCTCGACTTTCTGTCACATTGAAAACTATTCAGTGATCAGTCCTACTTGACTTAATGATGCGGGAGAATTGTCAGTGTTCTGTCAATCATATTTTAATAAAACGCTGATTGGCCAGGCAGGCAGTATAGGTGGGAAAACCAGACAGGAAGTAGAGGTGATGCAATGAGAGCAGGAGAATTCTGGGAAGCAGAGAGGTTCCTCTGGCACTCCTGCGCAGAACACCGAAGAGGCAACATGTAAGCTGTCACACTGAGAAAGGTACTGAGCCCATGTGGCTAACATAGATCAGAATAATGGGTTAAGATAAGTTATAAGAACTAATAAGTAGCCTGACCTAATGGGCCAATCAGTTTATAACCTAATGTAGACTCTGTGTTATTTTCTTTGTTGCTTGCTGGCTGTTGGGGTACTGGGAGGGACAGAAACCCCAACAAGCCAGCCCTCATACTACAACTTAACATCCTGGTAGCTATAAAACCTGTAAAATGTATTCGTAGTTTCCCCGAACCCAAGGGCTAAGGACTGTCATCAAAGAGTATCTGAAACCACATACATAGGGCACCCACCCAAACATATGGCAAATACTTTGATTTACAACTTTCTTCTGTAACCAATAAAATCTCATGTTACTGCTTCCACATTGAAACACAGGGTTTGAACATAGAACACTATGTTCCCTCATGATTAGGCCATGATCACTCATATTTGACTCCAGAACCAACCATCTTTTATTCCCTTTGAAGTACAAACTGTATTTTTCAGTCAATACTATTTTACATGTGACTAAATCTGGGGGTCAGTGTGGTTAGGGCGCCTCATCTCACAGACGGTAAGTAGACTGCTACTCAAGCACAATTTTGTCAGATTCTAAGTTTTTGAGGTTTATGCCCCCTGCTTCGATCTCTATGCAAATACAAGAGGAGGAAGACGGAATGTCCTGTGTAGCATATCTACCATGTTTTTGCTCTTGTTGTGCTTTGGTCTGCAGAGTTTGCCTCTTAAGCACTGGTAGTTGAATTCCCCTGCATAAATGGTGGCCTGACTAAAGTCATTCTTCTCTCCCATGGAGCCTTTCTCGCAATAGTCAACCCTTTTACTCCTACTATCTTCACTGTTTTCTGCATGTCTCTTATGCCTGTCATAGTTTACAGTGTCTGATAATCTTGAACATTTGTAATTTTCAACTCCAGTAAACACTGAGGCTGTCCTGTCTGCTTTTGTGGCTCGAACATTCGTCCTTTTCTAAATGCATTGTTGAAACCTAATCTGTGATGTGATGGTATCAGAGGTGGGACTTTGGAAGAAACAAGGACATGGATGGGGGTAGGGCTCGCATGAATGCAGTTAGTGCTGCTTGTAACGCACTGAAGAGGCTACAGGGTTCTCTTCTAAACTATGGGGTTACAGTGAGAAGGAAATAAGGACTTTCTCCAGACACTAAATCCACCCGTACACTGATCTTGGACTTCTCAACCTCCAGAATTAAGTGAGTATCTGTTAGTCATGAGCTTCCTAATTTATGGCTTGTCTTTACAGCATCTCAAACAGATCAGACAGTGTCTGTATCCTTTGATCCCTGTATCATGGCCTATCTTCTGTAATAACAAGTCAATAGTTAATTACCTGATTGGAATCTAAACTCTCATTGGTTTTTGATCTCCTGTGTCAAATTTATTCAAAAAATTATCTGTGATAATCCACATCCTCCTAATATCATCTGCAATATGATGCTAGGGTGCTTTTCACATGACCAGCTGACATTAGCAATACACTACGTCAGTTTAAAGGACCTGTCGCCAATCATGTGGAGCCCTTGGAATTCAATACTCTACAGTATTCATATTTGACTTCTTAATTTTACAATGAATGTGTATCTTGTAAGTGGCTTAAGGCAAAGGAACATGCTTATGGATGAGGAACCCCAGGTCCTGGGCATCCTGCCTTCTGGTACTTGGCTTTAGTTGGCTCTTAGATATCATTCTCTTCTCCCAGTGCCCATCCAGTAATGCCACAGCCTACCACCCTGAAAGAGGACAGAGTGCAGGCTTAGGGAAGGCCAGGGATTAGAAGTGTGTGCCCTTCTAGTACCATACAAGGGGACAGGTCCTCAGAGGCCATGTCCCAGCAAAGGCAAGTCTCTTAACTCATTCCAGTCTAGGTGCCTAGCATCACCACCTCAATATTCACTTTTGCTAGGCCTCACAAATTCTTCCAAAGCAAGGCAACCAGCAATGTTTGGAGCAATGTTTCCTCTTTTATATAAAAGAGCCCAATCGCGAAAAATGAGAAAAGAAAAGGACTAAGGAAATCTTTATCACAACTCTCGTGACCTTGAAGGAAGATGCCCACCAATAGATTCCTTCCTGCTTCTCCTATTAGGGAAAGTCTGAAATGAAAAAACACCACCACCGTGAAGGAGAGGCACATCCTAGGAACACAGTATGGCTGCATGAGTTTAAGGAGAGATGCACTATGAAAGCTGTGCTGTTCCCATTTACTCTGTAAACTTCCAGATGGTCACTTTAACATGACCAGAAACCACATTATCATCCCCATCTTCCCAGTATGCTGGTAAGCCCCTCCTAAGTGTCAATGAAGCACAGAGACGACTTTGGAAGCCAAAGACAGGACATCATGACCAACAATGTCTGAATCACTCTTGCCAGGCCTAGGGAACTGCAGAGGATAAACTCCTTTTTGCCTCAATATAAGTATGTCAAAGAGTCACTGGCTTTATGACTAACATAGAATTGTTATTTTTTCCTATGGTAGGCAATAGGAAATTAGCCATGACAACACTTGACAAAACAGACCTGAACAAGAAAGGAAGTGCTCTACTCTATCCCACGTTTGAAATGTTCATCATCAAATCACTATACCTTGGGGAACGCATAAGTCTGCAAGGCTGAATATACCAATTTAGATCTTAAGTTAATAAACTGACTTTCATAGGCCAGTTTTATGCTTATATAAAAGTTAAGTGCGAAATACAGTTTCATATCTCTCCTGTCTACTCCATATGCATGTATAAACCCTATCTCCAGGATAACTTCCAGCTTCAATGAGGCTCATTTATTTGTCACAAGTGGTGACTTTTGTACACACTCTTATTGTCAGAAGTCCAAGATTTATATTTGAATTGATTCTTGGCCGTGCACCTTATTTGGTTGTTAGTAAGAGTCTGCTGCCACGGATGCATCATTCTATCGTTACATGCCTGATAGTTTCACTGTCATCCCAAGCCCCAGGCTCTGTCACTTAGATAGTTCTGAGCCACTATGTGGGAGCTGAGCATCACCCACAGGTCCTCTAGAAGGGCAGCCAGCACTCATTGAGCGACCTCTCCAACCCCCTAATCATCTTTGTGAAAATACACTCCATTCTCTTCAAGCCTTTTCCTGTCATGCTCTCTTTAGCTGGTAGCCACTGCAACCTAACTTTTCTCAAATTTTCTGAGAATCCAGAACTGCCTCTGCTGCCATCCCATTGGGTAAGACCATACTAGTCTTCTGATGGGAGATCGGGCACTTAGATCCCTGCTTTCTGCTCTCTGCCTGTGCCACCATTTTACCCTAATGCTAAAACTATGACATCTTATATCCCCATCTTGCTTTTGGGTCTTTCTCACCATTCCAGAAGTCCCTATGCCTGTGAGCATTCTCCTCCCTTTCAGATACAGGCTCTGTAGCATGCTTACTTCTCTTGCCACCCATTTCCTTCAGTTTTTCTCAGCTGTGACCAACAGCTGACAGTAGCAGCTTGAAAAAGGAGAGATATATTTTGGCTTATAGTTTAGTTCCTGGTTGGCAGGATCTCTGTTGGTTTGGACTTGTGCAAGGCAGAATAGTGTATGTTTCCGTGAGTGTGTGTCAGAGCAGGGTGCTCACACCACTGGTGCGGGAGAATTATCTGTATTCTGTCAATCATATTTTAATAAAACGCTGATTGGCCAGGCAGGCAGTATAGGCAGGAAAGCCAGACAGGAAGTAGGGGTGGAGCAAAGAGACTGGGAGTATTCTGGAAGCAGAAGCTCTCTCTCAGCCACTCCTGCGCAGACCACCGAAGAGGCAACATGTAAGCTGTCACACTGAGAAAGGTACTGAGCCCATGTGGCTAACATAGATAAGGATAATGTGGTAATATATGTTATAAGAGTTAACAAGAAGCCTGACCTAATGGGCCAATCAGTT